CCCTAACCGCACTGACCCTAACCGCACTAACCCTAACTCTAACCCGCGCATTCGCACCCAAAATGCCCTTCAGGGATTGCATTGGCCGAACGCTCAATAAAACAGTTCCACAAACCAAAACTCACTTTACTGTACAGTAACATAAGTGTCCATGATGAAAAATGGACGAGCAGTGTTATTGCAGACAGTTAAGGTTGCCGCATCGTCATTTCGCAGATGAAGAGAAACCAACCCCCCAGAATGAAGAAGAACAGCGATCAACGCCGGCTTACCTCCGCAGCCGAAGAAATAACCGAAAGCCCCGCAACCAACGCAAGACACCCAACGCGAACAACCACACCGCCACACACACACACAAACGGGAAGTGGGCTAACAGTCATCGAAAAGCGCGGCATCCACACCACTGCGCCATTGCACACCGTGCTCAAGACACGACGCCACTCAGAGCAACACTCTCACAAGCAGCGCACTGCCTTCGCAAGGAAAGGAAGAATGAGTCACAGCGCACACTATTCCTTTGTTGTCTCGGCCTCTTCATAACCACAGAAAGCACTGCCAGCAACAACTACGAAGGAATCCTCCACGTGCACTGTAGTAAATATATGTCGTGTACGTGTGTGCCTGCAGATACAAAAATTGAAAGAGAGGAAAGAGGATCAAAGTGTGTGAGGACGCACATATATACACAGAAGAGATACAGGAGGCAAAGGTGAAAAAAAAAGATGACTAAAACTCAAAATGGCACCGCAGCATGCTAACTAGTAACACACAATAAAAATGATTTACCAAAAAACAAAAACAAAAATACTCCTAAAATAGTTTTCACAAAACAAAAACGAAAATATTGTCGCGGAAGGCCCTCGTACTATCCTTGAAACAAAAACAAAAATTACTCCCAAAAACGTCTTCACAAAACAAAAACGAAAATATTGTCGCGGAAGGCCCTCGTACTATCCTTGAAACAAAAACAAAAATTACTCCTAAAAACGTCTTCACAAAACAAAAACAAAAATATTGTCGTGGAAGGCCACTGTGCGATCCCCACAGTTCCACTCACATTTTGGCCGCATATAAAAATAAATTACATATTCGTTTCAACAACTGAAAGCCGCCGGTGTCCACACAGCGTTTAACTTTCACAGGGAATTATGGTGCGTTGCTGTGGCTCTCATTTCTGTCCTCCTTCCTTCTCCCATCGGCGGACACACAATGCCGAGAGCGTCCGCAGACACCCAAGAAAAGCGGTTAGTTGTTTTTCTTCGTGTCTTTTCGAACGAATTCGATGGCCTGCGCGTCAGCCAGCATCGTGGCACACGTCTGCACCCACCAAAAACCAGGATGTAAAAGAGAGAGCCCCGATCCCTCCTGCGGCGACCGCAGTGCAGGGGCGCAGTGAAGCATGTCCCCCTGCAGTGCAAAAACGCAGGCTCAACGCAATCGTCAAGAACGAAGCGACAAAACAACAACCAACAAGCCAAGAAAAAAAAACACATCCGTAAAGCAGTAAACCAAAAAAAAACACTGAACAAATACACAAAAAAAAACGGTGATTCGCCTCCAGTCATTGCTAGAGGCGAACAATATAACAAACAAAAATAGACGCAATAAAATACATGAAGGCACCGCAGTGCTGGCGCCGAAAGAAGAGCGCAATTTGTGGGTACAAAAACAAATGGAAAACAAAACAAAATACTTGCCAACCTTAGACTTTATTTACTTCTCAGGGCGCGTGGAGAGACGGAGATGCCCTCAGTAGAAGCACAACCTCCTCTCCATCAAGGTCCACTCAGCACAGGGCCGCAAAAACCCAATCATAGACCCAATAGCAGCAGAAGTAGGAGCCTCAACACATCCTAACGCGCAGAGCTGTTACCTGCACACTGCTTAGCTGCATTAAAGCTGCTATCAACCCCTTCCACAAACTTAATGGAGCGCTGACCTGGACGTTACTCAGACGCACTGGAACTGTTACCTGTACGTTTCCCAGATGCTTTGGAACTGTCGGCTGCACGCTGCTCAGAAGCATAGGAATCATCAACCGCTTTGAGTTTAATGGCATTCAGTGGACGGTTGTACAAAAAGACGTTATTTACTGTAACACTGCTGTTTTCGCCGCCACCAAAGTAAAAATGAGAGATATGGTGCCCCCGTGACTCAAGGGTTGGTAGTTTGTTAGTATTCCCCACAAGCACGCCGTCCACGTACACGGAGCTTCTTTTGCCCCGCAGCATGAGCGCCACTTTGTACTCCTTCCCCGGCTCCCAAGTGCTGTTGTGTGTTGTCGTGATGCCGTTGAAGACTGTCCCCCACTGTTTCTTCGTCGTGTACGACAGCCCCACAAACGTCGTGTTTCCCTTGTCCTCCAGAGCCGCACCCAGCAGAGGAACGCCCTCGTTCGGAGTCTTATGAATCCTCACCGTCGCCACAAGCGCAAACTCGTAATCCACAAAGCCGTGCACATGGTGATACTTCCGCATGTTCACAGGCCACATGGCGTATGATTCGGACCCTGTGAACTTAAAGCCATCTCTGGCCTTCGTTGCATTGGTCACAATTGCATTCAAGCAACGGTACGCGTCGTTCCAATTCCCATCACCCGATGCATCCGACAAGAACCCAACCAGACGGGCCGTGGGCACCGACGAGTTGGAGAGGAAGGAGTCCATTTTTGCCCAAGTCTTCAAGACGGACTTAATCGTCTTCAGCGCATGCGTTAGGGGGGAAAGAACGAAGCGGATTTCCATGAAATTGTTCCTCTCTTCTAAAAGGTGCAACGCATTTTTCGAATAGAGCAAGGTGTTGCCAGACGTCACCTCCTCTGCAGTGTCCATGGAAATGGGCCCGAGATGAAACGTACGGCTGTTGTCAACAACCCAAAGGTAGAGTGCGGTGGCTTGCACCGTGGGCCCAGGGGGAATCCCTTTCTGAGTGTACAGCATGACCTTCTTTCCAGCAATGGTCGCAGTGGTGAGGGACCCCACTCTCTCAGCTGTTTGCAAAGAGTTTGGTAACAACATGGGCTGCACGCGTGTGATTGTCCTGACAGCCTCCGTCCACGTTGCCCCCATGTCCCTCGACTCGAACACCTTGGAGAGAGAATTGTATTTGGCAATCATGAGAAGCTGCCCCTGCTCCCACTCAACGATGAGGGGGTCAGTGCACCCCACGGGGAGCATCCCCTGTGGAAGCACCCAACTATTGCCGTCGTCCTTCGAATAAATAATCATGGAGAAAATGTCTTGTTTTCCCCTCCTCGCCGTCACAGGAAACACAAACGTGCCATCCTCCATCACAATGCCTGAGCCACCGCCACCAACAAATTCCTTTAGGCCACGTTGTTTAGCAAATGGTTCGATCTGTCGCAAAATCCAGGTGGGTTGGTCCCATTTGATGACTTTATCTTGCGTGGCATCACCCACGAGCAAAACAAGATCCTTTGATATTTTAAACGGCCCGTCGCAGGAAGGATCATATATCCTATTATAGTATCCCACAAGTAGAAAGACCTTGTTGCCCTTTGCAATTGTTGTGGGTTTTGACGTGCGTATCATGTAGGACATATTATCCTGTTCCGTGACCGTGTTAAAGATGCTGTACGCCCTCCATTTGTTTAGTCGGACGTCATCGGCCAAAGAGGACCAGTTCTCCGCAGAGTCAATGTACCCCGCCACAATATCGGCGCAAATGACCCAAGGATCTACATCGTAAATATCACAGGCGATCTCACACCCGGCAAGCACAACCAACACTCCACCAGCACTGGCGAGGGAAGGGTAGGAAAAATTTTCCCTTACATCAAATAAACCTTGTGTTTTCACATATGTTTGATTCGGCACCAAAAGAGAGAGAGGCTCTTGTGTTTGCATTTCCTTTGGTTTACTTTCCTTAGCGTGCACAGCTGTACTGGCAAAGCACATCACACACAGCAGAAGTAGCCCCGAATAAGAAAACAGCTGGCGGTACATCATGGGCATGGGTCACTGCTCACACAAACACACACAACAGTCGCGGCCTTGGCGGATCCACCACAAGGAGGAAAGGAAGAGAATGAGTGTGTTGCTGGTGGTAACTGCAGCGCCCTCAATGTGCACAATAGCGAGTGGTATTTGTTGTTTTTCCTTTCGTGTTTGCTGGGAGAGAGAAAGTTATGAGGAAGAAGCAAACAGAAGAAAATAAAAGCAACGGCCCAAAAAAAAGGTGAGCACTGCAAGCGCACCCAGCGGGGACCCCGCAAACAACAGTGACAAACCATAACGAAGGCCGCACCGCCAAATGCGTGGGCCACACGATCACACACCTCGCCGCCACACCTCCCTCTGCCACCGGGGGGACATCTTCACCACTCTGTGAAATGCGCCCTCGCCGCGCCACGGCTGCGTGCCCAGCCCAAACGAAAAGAGTAATTCCCAGCACCCGAAAGGGCGATCGACCCCACCGCACCCACCGGCGCAAAGAATCGACCAAAAAGACTCACGGAAAATGTCATGAAAGCAAAAAAAATAAAAAATTATAAAATATGCCTCCGGATAAGGCCATATGGCTCCCACTCCTAAAAAGCAAAGGATGCACAATGGGGGATCGCAGTTTGGCTCGGTGGGCCCCGCAACCACACGACTCCCTTCCGCATTGGAGGGTGTCATTATTACCATCAGTTGCAGTGGGTGTGTGTGGCGTGGAAGAACTGAAAATAAAAAACACTCGCGCTGCTCCCCAACGCGGCATCGCTGAAAGCTAAAAATCAAGTCATCCGCAAAACAAGCAGAGGAGCCACACAAAACCATCTGTCGTCTGCTCAGCCTTAGCGGGTGGCACACTCCCCCCACCGCCTTCTCTCAGCAAAGCACCCCGCTCCCGACGCAAGACACACGAGGAAGCCGCCACTCCGCCCACTACACCAACCACAATAATAATACAACTCGCCTCTCCCCCACTCCCAGCCATGCCGCCGCCCTTCCTTCCCCACCAAGAAAGAAACGCACTAAAAGAATGCCTTGAAACGACACAAACCCATACAACACCATGTAACACACGAGCAGGGCGGATTCCCAGCCACACCCAACGTTCCCGTCACTTATCCTGAGCGGCCTTTGCTGGCAGCAACAATCAGCTGGGCAGTCATCTCCGCGTCAAGCTGCACCTGGTACTGTTCCACCCTTCTCTCCCAAAAGTCTCTGGCAACCTGAAGTCTCGGCACCTCCTTTTCTCCCTCCGTGACATGGCAATCCCGCCTTCCCGTCATTGGCGTGCTCTCAGCGTGCTGAATGTAAATGATCTCCCACTTCATCTTTTCCCTCAGCGCCTCCCAGCCCTTGAAGTTGCACGTCATGTACTTCAGAAACGCAGCCACCTTACCGGCAGTGGTGTGGTGGGTGTTGTGTTTTGCCACCCGCAGCCCGATGAACGTCACTTCTTTCTCCGCACCGCTGTGCCCATCGGCGCCAGCATTTCGGGACCGCCCAGATTTATTTATTTTTTCCTGGCAGTTTCCGTTGGTTGCACCCCGACCACGTAGAACGCGTCCAGCACGGGGAAAAACACTTGTTGGGCATATACAGAACGCCGGCTTGAAGTTCAGTCTGGATTATTACTCTTCTATTATCTCCACCTGCCATGCACCCGACCACGCAGGGGGGCCTTGGAAAGCGGCCCACCGCATGCCCGTCCGCCAACACGCTGGCCCGCGTTTCTCCCTCGCTGCGGGAAAGGTGCCTCACCTTGCGAGCAACCGCTTCGGCGACGTCGCTAATCAGAAACGCCACGCAGCCCAAGCGCTCAAGATCATCAGCTGCAGACCTACTCCACGTTCCCAAAGCGGACAGCAGGCGGGACATCCTAAAGTTCTTCATTAGCACCCGCCTCCGCAATGTTCTTTTTGACCTCAACTGAAACGGGAAAATTCCTGCAACCTTCTGCGTCCCCTCCACTCCCCGCATTGGGCCCCACTACCACCGACGCATCCCTCACCACGCGCTCCTCCTCAACACACGCACCAAATTAATCAGCTTGTCCGCGATCCGGTCCTCGCCCCACTCAACCTTGCCAAACAAAAGCCTTGCGCAGTGCTCCCAGCATATGTCAGACGTGTTGGACAGCGCAGTTTTAATTGCGCTACAGCGCCCTGAGTAATTGTTCTTGTCAAAAACGTAGCGAGGGAGCGGTCCAACCACACAAATACGGTCCTTCATCCTCTGCCACCTCCCCTCAAGCTCTGCTCTATCCTCACTGCTTCCCTGCGAGTCACGCAGCAAATCACGCTCCTGCCACGCAAAGAACGCCTTCATCTCTCGTGCATCGTAGCCGTTCACAAAAATGTTAAACACATTACGTTGTTTCTTCCACCCCTCATAGTTATGTGCGTCAGGCATAGTCAACACGATTCCGCCCCACCGTCGACGAGGCAGCCCCGCCACAACTCGATGGTCCTTAGTCACATCAAAAATATAGTAACCCCCTACGTTAGCCCTTTCTAACTTTTTTTTGATGGCCCACAAGCCTTCACTGGTGTTTTTATATTTCACTGCTGTCCCTGCCATTTATCCCGTTTTGTGGAAAAGGCACACTGGCCCTTCTACAAAGTAGGCCACCACCGTGACCCTCACGGCGTCGTAGTTCAGGAGCTCGTGCAGCACAAAGGACCCCACCGCCAGCGACTTGCCAATGCCCGCTGTTCCAACCACAACGTACGACCACTTTATGTCCGTATGACCATCAGCAGGGGTCCAGTTGTCGATGCTTCGCCTAATGACGTTCCACACACAAGCATCACCTCCCTCCGCACAAATACATCCTCGTAATCTGGCAAAAAAAAAATTGTACGGCCACGCAAACGCAGATCTAAGCACAAAACACTCCAGCCCCACACCACGGGTCTCCTCCTCTTCACGCTCATCAATCTGATCGAAACGAGGTGTGACGTCCACCTCACTCTCACTCCACAATATCTGAGGCCTGCTGGAAGCGGCGTCCGCCAACCTCATCCCAAGCGGCTCCGCAAAGTGGCCCGACTCCACGTAAGTCCCACGTTGCATTCAACACCGACCGGTAGGCCCTCTCATCCAAAACCACAGGTGCAGCCCTTGCTGCAGCCGCCCGCCTTGCTTCCTCCCCCGCCCCGGCAAGAGCTGATTGGAGTTTTACCCGTGTAATAGGAGAGACAATACTCTTATATGCAAACTCCTTCCAGTCTCGCAGCGTGGCCAACCCGCGCTCCGTAAGCATGCGTGCATCTTCACGGAGCCTGCGTGCATCTTCTATTTCTTCCCTTATGGCTGTGTAAGACGGCGATGCCAGTATTAAGCCCAAAACATCTTCGTCGTCGATGAATGCCCGGGGTTGCGCAACAAAATTCTCAATGGAGACATTCTCGTTAATTGGCACAACTCCCCTGTCGCACAATGTACTGCGAAGAAAGTCATTCAGGTTGATGTTACGTATACGACTAACCGGCACATTAAGAACATCCTTGATAGAGCTCACCAGCGTCCACCTTGGCTGATGCGGTGCTCCTTCCACCCTTCGGCGCTGCGCGGGGCGCTCCTCGGTGGGGTGAGATTCTCCCTCGCGTCTCTCAGACATGTTTTCCTTCGTGGTGGTTAACTTGAGCTGAACTGCAGCACAATACTCAACCAGCAGCCAAAAGGGAGAATGAAATTATTTAAAAAAAAACAGGCAGAGACACGACCCCACGCAGCCGCAACAAAAACGAGAGAGAGAGGGCCACCCACACACGGCACGCGGCGCACACCTCACACACGCACACAAACACGCACAAGCACCCCCAATCCCGCACACAACGCAAGCGTGATGCATCACGGCACCCTCGCACACAAGCAACGAGGGCAAATTAGATCTCCCTAGGCAAACCATGCAAACTGCACGGCACACACAACAACTGCGACGACGCTTCTCTCCTCTTCTCGTATTTCACTTGACATTCGGATCCCCACAGCTCTGTGTGTGTGTAGTCACACGCAAATATCACCCACTCACAGTGAAATTGACTGCCTCGTCGCGGTGGCATTTTGCGCTGTAATTCGCTGAGGTGCGAAGGAGCAGAACACCCGCCGCCTCTTCGTTCACTCGCGAGAAGAAGGAGGGACGCCGCCGCATTGTCCCCCACGACACAAATATACGCTGCGCCCAGCACGTGGTGCGGTGCACGTGAATTCCGTGAGGGAACTGTTTGCCACATGACTGGGCCGCACGGGGTGCAGCCTGCGAAGGCAGCTGCAGACGTCTCCGTTTCCTTCAGTCGTCGTGGCGGTGGAACCCGCAGCTTGTCAGACGCCGGCACATTTGCCCCCAATGCAGCCAACAAAAAAAAGAGTGTGGCAGCATATTCCCCGCTGCAAGAGCAGAAGCGGCAGCCCCACTCTGCGGCCACCGCACCACCCAGTGAGCCCCACACAATCTTCTGCATTTCGTTTTTAGGTCGCACGCCCCCGCAAGGCTCCGCCACGGCAACGCATGAAAGTGGAGGCAAAAACACCCCGCCACCGTCGCCACCAAACCACGCAACCCAAAAAAAAGGCCCGAATACGCAGCAGGACAAAGTGTCCGTGCGGACGCACCCACAGCGGAATAAAAAGCAGACAAAGCAAGCCGCCCACCCCGTGCCGCGCCGTTGCAGTTGGCGGCGCCGCGCTTCAAGACAACACTCCCACACGCAGCGCCCTGCACATGCAAGAAAAGGGAGTGAGCCTCGGTCCGCACTCACAATCTCATTGTGTCCTTTTCTTTCCCTCTGACACTGAAAAAGGCAGCAGCAGCCACCCGGCGGCGCTGCCAGAACCAACTACGAAAGCATCCTCCACGCGCACCGCAATATGTAGATGCGTCGCGTGGTTGTGCGTGTGTGCGCCTTTACGCGCCTATTTTGTCATTTTGCACATGCAGGCACGCATACACACAATAAAAACGCAAGACAGAAAGAACAAAAAAAAAGGCGCCTGGCAACACTTAATGTCGCACCGCAGCCCACGCAGCTGCAACACACAAGAAATATGCTGAAAAAAACAAAAGAAACGTTCTTCGTGTTGCTTTAATTTCCCATTTCGCTTTTAAAAAAAAAATCCGTCCCTCATCATGTTTTCCCAGA